ATCCATAATAGATATCTATAAAGTGGTCTTGTCTGAATCAGGAGAGAAATATGCACAGATCAAGCACCGTTTACAATTGTAAACAGAGCAAAACAGTTCTAAACAAATTTGTTGGTGAATTTTACAACAGGGAATGAACTTTTTCCACTGAAGAAAGCATTATTGGACTCATATTTTGGTCAGAAGCAACCATTTAAAGTTAAAATGTCTTGCATTTGTTTATTTAAACACTTTTAACAAGACATTAATTGATAGACTGGAGTGATATGGATTGCTTGTGGATTATTGTGATTTTTTAATTAGCTGTTTGGACTCATTCTGATGGCACCCATTCACTGCAGAGGATCCATTGGTAAGCAAGTGATATAATGCTACATTTCTCCAAACCTGTTCTGATGAAGAAACAAACTCAACATCTTTGACAGCCTGAATTTTCAGCAAATTTTCATTTTGTTGTGAACTATTCCTTTAATTTGAGTGACCAGAGGCGGACAGTAACTAAGTACATTTACTTGAGTATTGTTAACCCTAACCTTTTGATGAAAACAAAACAGTAAAACTAGTTGGTGTGAAAGGGCCTCTTCAGTCAACTCGAAAATTATGCTAATATTCCGAGACATGTTTAATCACTAACAATGCCAGATAATAATAAAGTCTGATATTTGAGGCTGTGTGGCCTGAGAGATGCCCAGGTGCGGTTGCAGCTCCTGGCATCATGTGAGCTTCTCTGAAAAGAATGATCCCCTTTGTGCTACTATCCAAAACCTTTCATTTTTCTTTCATCACCCCTGTCTCAGGCTCAGCTTTTATGGCGTTCTGTTTAAAATGACAGCAAACAGCATTTCAGATAATAATGTTTATATTTTGTTCCAAATTGTTTGAGGACATCAATGATTTTGACTTTTTAGTGAAGTATTACGCATACCATTTGAATAATCGTTTCATTAAAAGGTGCTGTATGTGATTTTAGCCATTTTGCTTCAACTACATGAACTCTTCTCCAAAACCTTACACTTTTCTTACTGGATAAAAAGCACAAGTTGTTTAAAGAGCATTGGACTTCAGTGATATCTGTCAGGTAGTAGAGAAAGTTTATACATGGAATTTGAAAACAGTCACTTTCAGCACCTTTAAATAGCACGTTAATGTAGTCTTATTAACCACATTGCAAAAAGGATGAATGAACCGATACTTACAGATTTGTTTCTAGCCATCTGTCATCCATGGTAACTCCCCTCAAGTAATCTCATCTACATTCTCCCTCTTGTCATTTACATTATTTATATGCATAAGATAAACCACAAAACATAGTTTGCTGACGTTGCACAATTTATTAAGGCATTTTACCCACAGGGCCGACAGAACACTCCGCTTCATCTCAATGATAACAGTAAAGCATACATGAGTCTTAACATTGACTGTTGTGATGATCTGCTTATATAATTATATTATGCCATAACTGCATAAAAACGAGCATTGACAATTCAGGATAATAAAAGCATCACAGAATCACTACAAGGTTCAGGAATAAATAAAGTACTACCATATTCATAAAGTGCAGTAGATCAAGTCTAGGTCATATTTCATCACAAATATCAAACAAAACAAAAAACAAAAAAAGACATTTTGCTGAAAGAATAAATATATTCATAATAATAAAAAATAATTATCATTACTGTAATGCAAAAAAGAATATTTTATTATTTTTAATTATTAAACTTGTATATACACATAATAGTAATATATAGGGTAGAGTGGGGTAAAACGCCCCCCTACTGTTTAAATTTATAAGAATCTACGAGAATCAACTTCGGAATCAACGAGCAGTACCCTCCAGCAATTCTGGAACGATGAAAAATACTCTTCCCTATATACCATGAACAGAGAAAAAAAACAGTACGGCAAGGGTGAGTCTTAACTGCGATAAACTTTACATAAACAACGTTTTATTCAAAGACCCACAGTTGACCCCATGGCTATATTAGATCGACATGTAACATCTAAATGACCAATTTCTTATTAGTCATTGCGTGTCTCATGATCTGATCCCATGATCTCTCTTTAACGTTTTCATGTCAGTATGCACAGTGTCTCCTCTGCTTTCCACGCAGTACCCCATTTTAATATTCCAATGTTCCTTATATTGTTCTTATGTGCATATGGTGTATGCATGTATGTGTGTTAATTATAAAGCAACTCCTGAAAACTAAAAATGAACAATGATATTTTGAAAAAAAAACAAAAAAAAACACAGAACAAACAATAGTTAAATTAAGACAGCAACAATTTGAATGGAGAAAAATCTAGCAAGTACCTAGCAAATCAGCTAAAGCAAGAAACAGAACAATCAATTATTACAGCAATCACTACCACAACTGGAAACACGACTCGGGATCCAGAATCAATAAATGAATTCTTTCGAATTTATTACCTAAATCTATATACCCCAGACCAACATGTACAGACAGATGAAATAGATTCTTTTTTGGAGAACGTTTTTATACCCAAAATAAATGAGACTCGGTCAGAAATGCTGGAAAACTTGCTTACTTGAGTCTAGACGAAATTAACAAAGCTCTCCAACATATGCCAAACAATAAATCACCTGGCCCAGATGGTTATACAGCTGAATTCTATAGGGAATTTTGGCCCTCTCCGTCTCCGCTCTTCCATAGAGTAATTACAGAAATCTATGAAACTGGAAACATACCATATTATATGAACACTGCTTATATCACTCTTATCCCAAAACCGAATAAAGACTTAACACAATGTGCCAACTATCAGCCAATTTCACTCATCAATGTAGACACAAAAATTATAAGCAAAGAATTATCAGCCAGACTAGAAACTGTCATCACAACTTTAATACACAACGATCAAACAGGGTTTATTAAAGGGAGGCATCCTTCAGAATAAGGATTCAAATAAAAAAAATTTTTTGAATAAAAATTATTTTTATTCAAAATAAATCACCTTTCTTAATAGCATCATTAGACACAGAAAAAGCTTTTGACAGGGTAGAGTGGCCATTTCTATTCTCTACACTGTCACTTTGGATTCAAAACTAATTTGATCAAATTCAATCAAAATTCTGTACAAGTCTCCTGTAGCGTCAGTCATAACGGAATTACCTCAAAGTCATTTCCCTTGAAAAGAGGTACTCGTCAAGGATGCCCGCTGTCTCCGTTATTATTTGCACTCTTTATTGAGCCATGCAGCGGCAATTAGACAATCGCAAAGCATCACCGGAATTCAGTCAAATTCATACCACCATAAAATAAGCCTGTATGCTGACGACATACTCCTGTATTTAACGAACCCATCAATTTCACTTCCACCAGCAGTATATAATCTCATTAACCAATTTAGCAGGATGTCAGGCTACTCCATCAACTGTTCAAAGTCCTATCAATAAATGGAATTGGGATGCTGAGGTCAAGAATGATCCTTTTAGACGCATAACTAAGACACTTAAATATCTTGGAGTCCATATCTCATCTGATATAAATAAGTTGTTCAATCTCAACCACATACCTCACCTGGAAGAAATAAAAAATAATCTTCTTGACAGATGGAACAAACTGCCTCTCTCTTTAAACGGCCACATAACAACTGTTAAAGTGAATATTTTACCAAAGATAAATTACCTTTTTTCCATGATTTCTGTGACTCCTCCTCCAGGTTGGTTCTCCTCTCTGGACGGTGCAATTATTAAATTTTATTGGAAAAATAGCAAGCATCGTATAAAATTATCCAGCCTGCAGAAACCAAAACAGTATGGAGGACTTGGGGCCCCTCTCTCAGCAACTAATATATATATTCATCATTGGACCAGTAAGTTATGACTCTATATGGCTATACATAGAAAAACAATTTATTAAACAATTAGATATTAAATATCTACCGTTTATAGATAAATCCCTGAAAATACATCTTAAAAACAATATCACTATCATTACCACAATGAATGCATGGGGGGATACTCACAAAATATTAAACCACAGTTTTGAACCATCCGATCACACCCCACTATGGTACAATCCCATGTTTCTCATTAATAAAAAGCCCATCCATTTTACAGCATGGAGTCAGAAAGGGATAACCAGCCTGGGTCAATTGTACTCTGGTGGCCTGCTCATGACATTCGACCAAATTAAATTGAAATATAGCATTCCAAACCAAGCCGGCTTTCAATACATACAGCTAAAAGAAGTAATAAGAAAAACAGTTGGTTCAAGAAACTTAAAACAGTGTCACTCCCCTCTTTTCCAAGCCCTTTCACTTTTAAAACTGAAGAAACTGCTGTCACAAATATATAAATTCTTAATAACATCTGACAAATCAATAGCAATTCCCACTCAAAAATGGGCTACAGACATTGGTTCAGAGAATGTTAACTGGCAAACAGTCTGCAACAATATATACTCTGTCATGTAACAGTAAAATTCAACTGATTCAATACAAACTGCTACATAGAACACACATTAAAATCCATAAACTACATCTAATGGGATATACAGATACCAATAAATGTACACAGTGTCCAACTTGCATTGATAATCATTTCCATGCCTCCTGGGATTGTAGGTATGTTCAACGCTTTTGGTCGGATGTCATGCACAGGCTATCAGAAATTCTTGGGCTCAGTACGTGTCCGAAAATAGCATTACTTGGCGATATAATCCTCACTAACTATACCCAAACATAAAGAACCATTTTTACTCAGTGCACTAACTACAGCTAAAAAGACAATCTTAGTTAATTGGAAAGACAGACAAAGCTATCGACAAACCTCTGGTTTAATCTTCTAATAACGCAATATGGAAAAACTTACAGCATCTATAAAATCTAAGCTTGAAATTTTTAGTCTTGTCTGGTCTGTGTTGTGTATTTATGTCCTTATGTCTTTATGTATTTGTATGCATGTGTGTATGTGTGTATATATATATATATATATATATACACACACATGAGCATGAATGTGCCCAATCGTGTGTGTGTGTGTGTGTACGTGTACATATTGGTGTACATATGTATAAGGTCTAAATAATTTTTTTTTTACCATAATCTAATGAAATCAACCACTGAAGAATATCGAAAGAATTATTCAAAGTAAAGCATCTGGACTCATAGTCATTTAGAAGGAACATTGTCGTAACTGTCATAAAAAAAGGCAAAAAGGAAATACGGGGGCCCTAAAATGGGTTCATTTTCATTATGCAATATATCTTTTTTTTTTTTTTTTTGGATTTTGAAATGAAAAATGACCTGGACATTTTTTTGTGAGATTAACCCTAATGGGAGTGTTTTTTCAAAGCTTAACTTATGTGGGATACATAATTATATGTCTAATTAAACAACATTGTTGGCCGTCGACTGATTTGATGTGCTCTACCAAATAAAGGTATTTGTCCAAAATATATGCACATTAAAATAAATGTAAATGTGAGTCTAACTTTTAGAAATTTTATGATCATCCAGCATATCTCTCATACACAATTTGGTCAATAAAATCTAGGGGAACGTGAAGCAGCAAACAGGACCCAATCTCATTGAGGAGGGGTGTGAGGCAGGATTATATGGGCTGGGAGGAGGTGCTGGATGAAAAGGGAAGGAAATGGAGCGGAAGCGTAAATGAAAAAGTCCATAAGGGATGGGATGGGGCATGAAAGGGGAGGAGAGACTATATATCAGAGCTCATCTCAGTGCACTGTTTGTCTGATATGTGGGATGCCAGCGAGTCAATGATGTCCAACAGCAGCAGTTGGCTGAGCGATCGCAGGTTGGGGAGCTTGGACACCTTCAGGGAAGGAAGGAGAACCAAAGAAATAAATGGTAAACAACACAGGCCATGCAAGAGACCGCAAATAAACAGCCAAAAAGAAACTGATAAGCTAACAGGACCAAATAGACCAGAATGTCAAATGTGTTTGGGGAATTATGTTCACAAAAGGCACTAACTGGCATTTAAACATACTAGAATTGTTTGGTGTAACCAAAAGTGGGACAATTTACACCTACTAAAGTGAATTTAATCTATTGAATAGGCCTAAATGCATATCAAACACACAAGTCTTACATAATAAAAAGCCTTTAGTTGTTACAGATCTCTCGGTATTAAAAAATGACTGCAGTATTGTATACATTTAATAGCTTGTAGAGGTTATCCATGTCGCACTGAATGTCTTGGTGACGTGTTTTTAGCTGTGGCGAGGCAGCCAGCACACGCTCAGAGCTGTGGTCAATAGCACACCCACCTTGGTGAACTGATGGACAATAATATGCAGGCAGTGTTTCTTCATATCAAGAGCTTGAGTCTTATCAGCCGCTTCCAAGATCTAAGGATGAAGAAAGGATGATAGCATGTGACTGCTGTTTTTGATCATCAAATGTTTCAAATGTTATGATATTCAGTACAGTTCAAAAGTTTTGGAGTTGATAGGATTCAATATTTTTGAAAGAAGTCTCTTATGCTAACCAAGGTACAGTAAAAATACAGTAAAGCTATTTTGTGAAATATGGTTGCAATTTAAAATAGATGTTTTACATTTTAATGCATTTTAAAATGTAATTTATTACATTGCTGAATTTTTTGCATCATTACTCCAGTCTTCAGTGTCACATGATCCTTCAGAAAACATTCTAATATGATGATTTGCTGCTCAAGAAACATTTCTTATCATCAAAGTTGAAAACAGTTTTGCTTAATATTTTTGTGGAAACCCTGATACAGGATTCTTTGATGAACAGAAAGTTAAAAAGCACAGCATTTAATATATAATGGACATAATCCATAATATCCCTTCCATCAGTAAAAAAACAAAAAAATCCATCTCCTGTTGTCCATCTACAAATTCTACCAACATATTTGAATTGTTCAGGACTGTTTATACTAGTTAACAACACAAATCTGTGTATATTTCGCTCCTGATTCAGATTAAATTACGTTTTTCCACTGGAGAAAACGGTTAAAAAGTTAAATTACTGTAATGATGGATTTGTTTCTTATAAACACACAGCTTTTGGCTTCACAAGACATTAATTGATGGACTGGAGTCGTGCAGATTACTTGTGGATTATGTTTTTTTTTTTCAGCTTTTTGGACTCTCATTCTAACGGCACCCATTCACTACAGAGGATCCATTGGTGAGCAAGAGATGGAATGTGAGCAAGTACCTGTAAGACATTTTCTACAGTAACGTTCATCTCCAGATTTTGCTTGCAGTAGGCCTGAAGTCTGTTGTTGGAGAAACCGTAGTAATAAGGTGCTGCAAACAGGTATCTGTGCACTAGTTAAGGACATAAAAATAATTAAAAAATTGATAAAGCTCAGGTCACTTCCATTTAAAACTATGGATTTCTTCCATCGGTTTTATCATCCCCCAAAGAAAAATTGCTGATCGTAAAGTAACAGCACATCTCTCATTAACAGCTACACTATTTGAGGCACCGATCATGTCTCTTACATATGGGATGAGTTTTGTCCAAATATTTGATGTGACACATATTTGTTCAAATATGTGATAATGGTAATAATAAAAGGGGATCAAAAGCAATACAACAAATATTGTGCATGCAACCAGAAATAAAGATGGCATACAATACAAAATTGGGGCACATGAAGCAGTAAAAAGGATACAGCGAGTCCTCTGGAGGCATGTTGACGTCCCCATAATAAATGTAGCGCAGCATGGACTCAAAGGCCTGTGTACTAGGAACCATCTCACCTATTGAAATGTTCACCTGCCCGTCCTCTGGCATGAAGGAGCGGAACATGGCCTCAAAATAACTGTCAAAGAATTGAGGCAGCAATCAACTGGTAAATTATTCATAGTCAAAGTTAAAAATGTAAATAAAATAAAAATAATTTTCGCTTGTACTAAATATTTCAGTATAAGCGGTCAAGGCAAAATTTCTAATTTTCATTCAGTTTAAACTGAAGTACTAAAATTACTAAAACTTAAACTGTAACTAATCTAAAACTAAAAATTACATAAAACTGACAAAAAACAGACAACAAAATGACTAAACATGGAAAATATAAAAATCTAAACCAATTCAAAACATTACCATGTACTATAATACTATACCATGATTTACCTGATTCATTAAACTTAAAAATATAGTATGGAAAAAAGAAAATACTGTGGAAGTCAATAGCTACTGTTAACTGTTTGGTTGAACCTCATTTTTGGATGAACTATCCCTTTAATACTTTAAATGCAAAGCGATTCTTTGTCGAGGCCCTGGTGACTATCGTCATTACCTGGAGCGAGCAGCAAGTATGGCCTTATGTGCAGGGCGCGGATGACCATCTAGCAAAAGGATGATGTCACAGAACTCATGGCCCGCCCCCTCCAGACAAGCCTTCATGTCCTGTACCAGAGACGTGCCTGAAACAAAATAATTTTTTGGCGCTATAGCCCCTATTTTGGATTTGTCCTGAAAGCTTGAGTGCTTACAGAGAAAGGACAAAAAGACAATGTGGTTATTATTACCTATATCCACCGGCTGATCCGAATAGACTCTGGGAGGAGGCTGCTGTTTGCGTCTCACTATCTCCACGATCAGCGGAGTGGACAGGTGCTCAAACTCTTTGGTCATGATCACCTGGTTGAAGTGACTCTCCTTCACCACAAAGTTCAGGCAGTGTTCCTGGGGGTGGAAATAAATAGAGATCCAGAAGAGAATCTGACTTTCTGACAAGGACGTTTTCTGTGATCAGGTGTGTGTTACTTCAGCTTTACCTTGAGCTGGTCCAGCTGAAGTTTGTTTGCGTTTTCACACACACTCAGGACATTCTGCAGATCGACCGATGCCTCAATGTACTGCACACAGAGCTGCTCCAGTCTGGACAGTTTAAAACTCAGAGCGAGTTTATAAACGTCCATGATCAACAGCACATCCTGGACATGACCTGTTGAGAGACAGGAAGAATTAAAATAGTGCCCCGAGACACTCTCTGTGCCTTTTATTAAGCAAATCTACAGAAGACCTATGGAAGCCCGTTTCCGCCACAGTCTAAAAAAAAATTTGAAAACTTTTATCTCACAATTGTGAGTTTATATCTCATGACTCTCATAATTGCTAGCTTATATCTTGCAATTATGAATTTTGTATTTTGCAACTCTGAAAAGTCCAAATTGTGAAATCTAAACATATAAAAGTCAGAATTGTGAGATAAGTTGCAATAGCTTTTTTTTTACTTTTTTGTGGCAGAAAGAAGCTTCCATACATCTGAAGATAAACAGGTGTTCAGTGTAACTTACCTCTACGTGGGTACTGTATCTTATCAGTGTACAGGAACTGCATTAAAACCTCATATGGAAGCCCGTTTCCGCCACAGTCTAAAAAAAAAATTGAAAACTTTTATCTCACAATTGTGAGTTTATATCTCATGACTCTCATAATTGCTAGCTTATATCTTGCAATTATGAATTTTGTATTTTGCAACTCTGAAAAGTCCAAATTGTGAAATCTAAACATATAAAAGTCAGAATTGTGAGATAAGTTGCAATAGCTTTTTTTTTACTTTTTTGTGGCAGAAAGAAGCTTCCATACATCTGAAGATAAACAGGTGTTCAGTGTAACTTACCTCTACGTGGGTACTGTATCTTATCAGTGTACAGGAACTGCATTAAAACCTCAAATGGTTGCGCGTCTGCCTCTCTGATTGACACTTCCAATAAAGGAGGACCCCTTGAGGACCTTCCAGAGCTGTCCTTCTGACTGCCTGAGCCAGACTCTTCACTCTCCTCATTGCATTCCAGTTTACTCTTCTACAAAAAAGAAGTTTACTTTCTGATTAGCCAAAAGGAAACTGTTTTGGCCAGGAATTTGCATTCCTTAAGAGAATGTACATAAAATGAAAGAATATTTAGAATTTAAAAAATAAACAATGCAAATAATAATAGTGCAAGTTAAACATATAAAAACAAATCTATAAAACTATCTATAAAAACAATATATATTTAATAATATTTATTAAAATAAATAATGACACAAACCACACAATTTGACATTAGGGTAAATGTGTACATAATTTATTTCTAATTTTTGCCTAAAAATTATGCCTTTTATTATAATTGTGCACTTTTAAATGCATGTATACCTACAATCAAAAATAGAAATGAAAATGAAATGGACCTGTTTCTGTCGATCTCTTGCCTGTAGAATCTTCTTACGTAGCCACTTACAGCGAGCTGTTACAATGGCAATATGACCCAGGACCTTCTCCTCCCTCTGTAAACAGAAACAGTTTCGAAAAGGCGATTTATTGCTAACACTGAAATGTAGCCCAATTATTTAGAATGACAGGGTGTATCAGATATGTTTTTCCAGGACAAACTAACCTCCCCCAAGATAAACTCTACATCACAGAACTGACGGTTTTCCCACAGTTTGCCATAGTCCTCATGAAGTGTGCACTTTGGATAACAAGAAAACTAGGACAAAAGTAATAAAGCAAAGACCAGTTAGAATAATATAGTATGTTCAGTTGCATTAGATGAAGCAGATGTATTTCTGGTGGTCAAGCCCTTACCTGAAATCTGTACATTTCTCCACTGCGCACATTATTGTCCACGGTCCCCCCAAAGATGTACATGGCATCATGGATAACAGCCGCTGCATGGAACAGCCTCCCACTTGGCATCTGAGAGAAATTAGCATGACAGTTCAAAATTATAGATTACACACCACAAACCAAAAGGTAAACCCTTTTTCCCCAAACTACAGGGAAACTTAACTAAAAATTAAAACATCCGCAGTTAGGTCATGAATGCTTATGATGTTGTTATGAATTTATTGGTACTGCCAAAGCTATAACTGTTCAGATGTATTTCATATACAATCTGAATTAATTAAACTGCATGTGTTTTATATGGTTACAAACTATATATATATATATATATAATTTTTTTAAAAAAATTTTCAGCATTCTTTGATGAACAGAATATTATGAAAAAAAATTGTACCATTATAAATGCCTTTACGATCACTGTCAATTTAATGCATAGTCCATAAAAAAAAAAATCTTACTGACCTCAAACTTTTGAAATGTGATGTATGTTATCAAGCATTTATTTTCAATGGGTATTAATAGATTTGTTGTAATTATGTTAACTGGTGTCAAATTCTTCTGTATTCTATTCTCTCATACCTCGCTGTCCGTGCTGGGCTGAATGACCTCCCATGTCTGTGAGTCCACATCATAGCAGTGCAGTTCATTGGGTAAAGTGTTGTCTGCCGCCCCTCCAAACACATACAGGTGACGGTCAAACGCCACCATGGTGTGTCCGTAGCGTCTCTGAGGGGGCGGAGGGGAGCCACGCAGTAAGTGCTCAGTTGGAATACGGGTCCATCTGAAGAAAAAACACATGGCTAATTAATTTCAAAAAATGTATCGTTCTTTTTTATGTAACATGAAACTGAACTGAGCTGAATAATGACACTGCTGTCTTCAGCAGAGCTGCTTTATAGGTGAAACTGACATTAGTTCATGATTGATGAACGCTTCCACAATTACTTTATTTTTTATGTTTATTACTGTGAAGCTTCTTTGAAACCATCTGCACTGTATAAAGCGATATCAAAATAAATGTGACTTGACATCATCAAAATTGGTGTGCATATTACACATAAAATTATATTTATCAATGTCCTCTCTCCCATGCTCACATGTGGCCTTTGAATTCAAACTGAAAGAGGTTGTTGGTGATCTTGGCTCCACTTTGACCAGAAAAGACAAACATCTTATCCTGACATACAGCTACTGGGAAGTTACAACAGGAAGGTGGGATTTCACCGCTTTGTTCAATCTAAAGGAAACAAAGAAAACGGTAAATCAGAAACAGTCCAACATGGTATATGTTCACTGGCAGGGAATGAAGTTATTGTGTATGTTCTGAGAGACTGTTAATGATTTATTGGGATTATAAAAAATGAGTGGGTGGATTTGTACCATTATAAGGCTGGTTGTTTTCACACACTGCGGCCACACAACTGTGTTCAAACACCTTATTAAAGTGATTTTGGCATAATACGTCCCCTTTAAGGTGAACACAAACCCTTACGTAAAAGTAACAGCCCTGCATCTTGAAAAAAAAAAAATGTTGATTTGCAAAAAAGGCATAATATTACCCAATTTGATTATACTGAGTTCAAAAATGTCAATAAAAACTTTCCATCACGGATAGTTTTTAAGAAATGTTCAAATAATGCAGTTAATGTCAAATAACTTTACAAAATCTGTCATTTTCTGTTGCTGTTTGGATGCGGACACCTACAGATTTAGCAGAAAACAGCTGGGTCTTGTTTGCATTTTCTTCTGTTACTGGCCATAATTCTACGATTGATATCAGGGTTAGGCATAAAATAATGTCTTCAGAATCATTCATGCATGTGAAAATTGGTGTAATAATTAGACAATCCTGTTTTTGAATGAAACTTATGCAAACATAGTCACCTCTTCCCAGTATGCCTGCTCACGATCCTGAAGACTGATGGTCCACATATCATTTAGCCTGTTAAAAAAACAAAAAAGGGTTCATAGAATAACATTTTAAAAAATCCCTTAGTTTTATGTTGAAATAGATTTGTTAATGTTACAACATATTTATATTTGCCATTCAAAGCTGTGTAAAGATAGGAATAATACACTTGCCTGGCATTCCCATCATATCCAGCAAAAATCCACAGTTTGTCATTATAGACCGTCGCTCCATGAGCTGATCTGGCAACCAGACTGGAACATAAAATACAAAAAAGAAAAAAGCATTAAAAACTAAATTGTGTTGTCAGACAGGCTATAACACAATTCTGAGAATCAATATGGTTTACCGTCCCTCCACCTTCCATTCTGTCCACTGCCCGGTGGCAAACTTGTACTCAAATAGATCATTTTTGTTTTTCAAGTTAGAGTTTGAATAGATGTCTCCAGTGTAGCCACCTAAAATACAAGCAGAAAAGCATTACACACACAGGAAAGAAAACCACGACATTGAAAGGCACACTGAAAACCTACCAAACACAAACATGCTGCTTCCATACACAACAGCAGAGTGGTGGTATCTTGGCGCTGGTGGGGTGCCAGTAGTAAATGCCCTATTTAATGACATAAATCGATATAAGAGGCTACATAAAACATGTTCAAGCACATTAACCTTGCGACTATCATACAACACTCACCGACACCATGAGCAGTCCTTCACGTCAAACCGCAACAAGTCATTAAGCATGTTCTTGCTGGAAGAAATAATCACCCATATGAGATCCTTCTGTGCGTTTTAGAGTGTAAGAAAAGTAAGGGGAAACAAATACTCACCCATTGTCTCCTCCAAAGACGTAGATGGCATCTCTGTATGCCACAACAGTGTGTTTGCTACGCCTGCAAGAAACAAAACTCAGCTTTTACTATTGAAATCATCTAGCTAAAAGATGGAGAACAACTGTTGTAAATGAATAAACAGTGTACCTTGCACCCACAAACTCATCACATGGTGGCAGCCTCCTCCAGCGGTGGACGGTCTCAAAAGGCCCGAAGTTGAGTGTCAAATACTCAACACTGTCGGAGCAGCTGTGGTCAAAATCAACACTGGGAGCAACTTTGGATTTACAAGACATGGCTCCAGGAAACCATGGCATCCAGTTCACATCTAACAAGATTGAGTCCAGCCGAAGGACCAAGTTTAGAACGAAAAAAAATCTAATTTGTTTGCAAGCTGTTTGACTGTTTGATCCGTTTCTGGTTCATTTTCTGGTTCATCTGAATCATATTGCCCAAAAGATGATGATTGTTTACTAGCTATAACTGTATATGATCATATGCCACGGCTTGTAATCATCTAAAAGTTTAATAGAAATCGTAATATAAAAAGAACGAGAAATATCAAACTTCAACGCGTCGATAGAAATAAATAATATTATGAAATACGTATAAATAAGATTTGCATCTCTTCCAGCTTTTCTGATCTAAGCGTCGAGGAAGGAGACGAGATTACCTGACATGCGCAGACTCGCGGCTTTGAATGGAGGAGAGCGCACTAGACGTCATCAACAACCTAAAAACACAAAAATGAATTACACATATTTTTATTTATCACAATTTCGTTTTATTACCAAAGCGTAGTTTTTTCATTCTTAGATGCGCTCAAATAAAAATAAAATTAAGTAAACGTAGAGCATACGTGGTAACGTACGCGTGAGGTTGCATTTTCATTGGTTGAAGTTTTGAGGGGCGGGAGCAAAGCAGGAAGGTGACTGGAGCTCGCGGCAACAACACAAAACGCGCCAAATTTCTATGGTGGAGGCACAGTGTGAGCAACGGAAATAGATATATATATATATATATATATATATATATTTACAGTAGCATTCTATGTACCAGTAACAACGCGAATTGTATGAAAATGTATAAGGAGTTATGATGTTTCATCGTTGTTGGTAGTACAGTGATATTCATGCGAGCAGCAAGTCTAATATTAACTCGCGTTGAAAGTGTGTGAAGACGGGACCCGTCGAGTTGTGTACAGTAAAGCTGTTAAATAACTAGTTCTCCTCTATTTAGTGACTGATTTGAGTCTTGCAGATTCTTGTCAGCTATGGTTTTACAAAACAGTGGGCGATATAAAGCAGACCGAGGTGGTGGAGATCAGGACAACCAGCAGTAAGTGTTCATAATGTTGACATATTTCAGCCTAAGTACGGTAGTTTAATGTTAATTTAGTGTAAAAGCAAATGAATTAATGACTGATATTTATTGGTTATCAAGTAAGGTCCATATGTGGTACAGTTTGGAAGAGCAGACAGTGTTTGGGTTGTTGACAAATAAACATATTTCTTTAACATAAAGATTTTAGGATAAATCTGTATATTTATATGTATATTATAGCCAGATAAATGGTCTAAATTGTTTGTCAACATTTTTAATAGCTTTTTTTTTTGCAGTGAAATTGTCCTAATGTTGTTATTTTAGAATTAGTTATATACTATTATAGTTTTTATTAATATATTGATTTAGCTTTTATTTAGTATATTTCCAGTTTAATTCAAATGTATTTTTTTAGTAATTTTGGTATGTGCTTTTGTCATTTTTATTATTACTTTTTTTTCATCTATGTAGTTTTAATAAATTTTTTAGTCCGTTTTAGTTCTATTTCAGTTAGTAGTTTTAGTACTTCAACCTAAACTTTTTTGGGGTTAAAAATAAGTTTCATTTAAAGTTTTTCATCTAATATTTATATTTTATTTTTCAGCTTTATTACAATAAACAAAAACAAGTTTTTTTTAGCAGTTTAGTTAACAGTAATAATTTGTGTATTACAAATTGTTTTTATTACAAATTCATGCAATGTCAATTAATATGACGTCATAAAAACTGAATGTAACATGATTATGCAAGAATTAAAGAAAATATTTAGCAGTTTTTACAGTTGTCAAAATGGCTGTTGAATCTTGTTGCAGTAAATTTTCTGATGCTTTTTAGGGATGATGCATCAGCTTTGTCCGCCGTCAAGCGGCTGGAGCGCAGTCAGTTCACTGATGGGATGGACGAGCACTTTGGCTTCGAACGGATGAAGGAACCTGGGGAGAAAACGGGATGGCTGATCAACATGCACCCGGTAAGAATGAATATCAGACAGTCAACACAGAATTTAGATTGCCAGTAAACTTTGCTTTCTGATAATCTAGCCAAATATTATGAAGGGTTTTAAACATTAAACAATTTATTTCTTCTCAGACTGAGATTCTGGATGATGACAAGCGGATGATCAGTGCTGTGGACTATTACTTCATACAGGAGGATGGAAACAGATTCAAGGTGACATATTACAGCATTTCGCAAATATGAATATTTATTTATTCCAAACCAAATACTAAAAGTTACTCCATGTTGTAAAATTACAAAAGTTTGGGATCTGGAAGATTTTTTTATGTTTTTGAAAGAAGTCTCTTATGCTCACCAAGTCTGCATTTATTTGATCTAAAATACACTAAACGCAGTAATATTGTGAAATTTTCAGCATCATTATTCCAGTCTTCAGTAACACTACATGATCCTTCAGAAATCATTCTAATATGCTGATTTGCTGCACAAGAAACATTTTGTATTATTATCAATGTTAAAAAATCTTGTGCTGCTTAATATTTTTGTGGAAACCATGAGGGCTTTTTTAGATGAATAGAAAAGTTCAAAAGAACAGCATTTATTTGAAATAGAATTATTTTGTAACTTTATAAATATCTTTTTTTTGTCACTTTTGAGTTGATCAATTTTATGCGTCCTTGCTAAATGAAAGTATTAATTATTATAATTATTTTTTTAAAAGTTACTGACTTCCAAACTTTTGAACGGTAGTGTATTTTATCCTGAATCACATTGACACAGAGCAGGATAAAGAATATCTTATGTTGACATAGGTCCTGATGTTGTAAGTTTCAGCTTTTTGTGTATGTGTCCCTCACAGATTGCTCTTCCCTATAAGCCGTATTTCTACATAGCCACTAAAAAGGTGAGTTTAAAGCTTTTGCACTGAATGAAAACACTTTGGGTTGGATGGATTGAATGATATACTTTTTGTGTTTTTTAAAGAACTGTGAAAGAGAGGTTATCTCCTTCCTGTCAAAGAAGTTCCAGGGAAAAGTGGCAAAGCTTGAAGTTGTCCCAAAGGAAGACTTAGATCTGGTGAGTAAAGTTCTGTTATACATTAGGTCAGTGTTTCCCAACCTTTTTTCCCAACTTTTGATAAGTTTTGATAAGTAAAAAATCCCACAGCACACCACTAAGTACTTAAAAAAAAAAAAAGATAGAAAGGGGGAAAGGTTTTTTTTTCCAATAATTAAACAATGCTTCGTCAGAGTTGGTATTTTGGCTTTATACTGTATATGATCAGACACTTTCACTTAACACTTTCTGAAAATCATGCTCAAATGGAGTTAACAAGGTTTTTGACGAGCAAATGACGGAGGTATGTATTCTGTCCGTCATTAGAACGGCTTCATCTGAGGCAATAAATTACGTTTTCTACAATGTTCAGCCTTTATCGATAGTGTTTCTTGGGTAAAGAAATCACCATACTTATTCAAACATCAGTTCTTTATTTACCCAAGAAGTAGACGTCTTCTTCAAACTGCGTGTCCCGGCACTTCATTCTGAATGGAGGCGGGGTGGAGTTATTAGGTTTGACTGACGATTTGAGGATCCAATGGCGTTACGAGGTTTAGTCACAAGCCCTTTTGAATGCTTTTCATTGGTTAAATATTTGTAAAACCCACAAACAGACAACGATGACCAATAGCACTGATTTTAAATAATAATAACGAAATATAACAGAGATAGGAAGATTTTGATAATTGTCCACGGCACTAGTGTACCGCGACAGTGGTTTGGAAACACTGCATTAGGTAAACAATTCTGCTGACTTGCTTGCCTGATTGATTTGTCAAAATATGAGTTCAGTATGAACCATAATCTCTTAATCAGTGCTTACCTGTAATTTTGTTAATTTATTGATCCTCTCTGTTTTTACTGTACAACCGAGAGAAGCCCAAACCAGGGCTAGTTGGCCAAAGTTGACCCATGATGATCTTTGATTTGTTCTGCCATGTCACCATCACCAAGAGGTGAAAAAATAGAAGAAACAAATAATTCCACTGGAGCATATGCCAAAGTTTCATTTTTACATATTAATATAATGCTGTTGGATGTAATGCAACATTCGGCCCATGTTTTATTTCTGACCCTTTGTAGTAAAAAGTGGGGGCATTTCTGCTTTATAATGTCAATCATTTGATTGCTGTGTGTCTTTTAAAGCCTAATCACCTGGTGGGCCTGAAGAGGAATTACATCAAACTCTCTTTTAACACGGTGGATGACCTTGTTAAAGTGAAAAGGGAGATCTCACCTGCTGTCCGCAAGAACAGAGAGAGAGAGAAGTCCAATGATGCCTATACCAGCATGTTATCCAGGTATTCACACTTTGGCAACAAAGATTTTGAAAATAAGTTAAACTTTAAGAACAGTTTAAAAGAAAAGACTTTCTCATTTAATGCACTTGACACTATTCACCATTGTTATTTGGTCCTGTAAATAGAATAAGGCACTTATTCTAACACTGTGTTACAGTGCTTTGGTTGGTGGGAGCGTAGTGACAGAGGATGAGGATGGCACTTCGAAGAAAATGACTGAGCAGCTTGACAACATCGTAGACATGCGGGAATATGACGTGCCTTATCATGTCCGCGTTTCTATTGACCTGAAGATTCATGTGGTAAAGAAACAATAGAGGGCCATAGAAGCTACATGACTGATTATCAGGTATGTTTAATATTCAAATGAGACCTTGATTGTGCGCTCTGTTTTCTGACAGGCTCACTGGTACAATGTGCGGTACAGAGGAAGTGCCTATCCTCCTGAGATTGTGCGCAGGGATGATCTTGTGGAAAGACCTGTAAGAATCTTAACAAACCTTGTCTTGAATGTAGATGCCGAAGAGTTTTGTTTTAGACTGTCTCTGGTTATCAAGATTGTTTTGATAATGTCGTTCAGCTTTATGCATGAATTAAGAAGAATCACTGAATCATTGCTGTAATTTTTCTCTGCCTGTCTAAGGATCCTGTAGTGTTGGCATTTGATATTGAGACCACTAAACTCCCACTGAAGTTTCCTGATGCTGAAACGGACCAGATTATGATGCTATCATACATGATAGATGGGCAGGTAATGTCTTTTGCGCAATTACCTTTCTGAAATGTCAGTCATTCATATTTCATAGCTGTTTTATCCATGCTGTGGTTAAATTTTGTTTGTTGGCCTCTTTGATGGGTTTAATACTTGGCATGGTTTTAATGTATTTTTGTGTACTTTTTTTTTTTTTTCCACAGGGCTTCCTCATCACAAACAGAGAAATAGTCTCTGAAGACATTGAGGACTTTGAGTTCACCCCAAAACCTGAATATGAGGGCCCCTTCACTGTATTTAATGAACCTGATGAGGTAAAAATGAACGGTATATGATGTGCATTGTTTATGAGTCTGTTACTGAGTGCCACAATTAAATAGTTGGTATTGTCAAGTTGTTTAACCCATTTTCTGTAGTTTGTAAATGAGCCTTCCATATTTCTGACCATTTTTGTCTGCTTGCAGGCCTCTCTTATTCAGAGATGGTTTGAACACATCCATGAGACCAAGCCGAACATTTTTGTCACTTACAATGGAGATTTCTTTGACTGGTGGGACATGATTTGTGTTAAACTATCTCATTCTGTAGTTTTTACATATAATGTTTTATGTAATTATATGGCATTTACTTGTGTTGACGAGTGGTGTTTTCTTCACACGTGTTTATCCAATAGCATGTGCTCATGGTTGATTTGTGTTTCTGTGTCCTCAGGCCATTTGTAGAAACCAGAGCGGCCCAGCTTGGCTTGAATATGCATCGGGAGATCGGCTTCCAGAAGGACAATCAGGGGGAATATAAAGCCAGCCAGGCTATTCACATGGACTGCCTCAGGTGAGAGCAGCTGAAATGTTTTCTTAAAGGGGACTGAATGAAAATTACCCACTCTTTACTTACATTTCGTATATGTGACCATGGACCACAAAACCAGTCATAAGTGTCAATTTTTCAAAATAGAGATTTGTGCATCATCTGAAAGCTGAATAAATATCAGAGATACAACTATTTGAAAATCTGCAATCTGAGGGTGCAAAAAAAACTAAATATTGAGAAAATCGCTTTTAAAGCTGTCCATATGAAGTTCTTAGCAATGCATATTACTAATCAAAAATTAAGTTTTAATATATTTACGGTTGGAAATTTACAAAATATCTTAATGGAACATGATCTTTACTTAATATCCTAATGATTTTTGGAATAAAAGAAAAATCGATCATTTTTACCCATACAATGTATTTTTGGCTATTGCTACAAATATACCTGTGCTACTTATGACTGGTTTTGTGGTCCAGGGTCACATATGTATGACTTCATATTAGTAAATATACCGTGTGTCTCTCTCTTTATTCAGGTGGGTGAAGAGAGACAGTTACCTGCCTGTAGGAAGTCATAACCTCAAGGCTGCAGCGAAAGCTAAGTTAGGCTATGACCCTGTAGAGCTGGACCCAGAGGAGATGTGCCGTATGGCTACTGAAGAATCACAGGTGCTCTTCCTTTACTCTCCAGCTCCCAACTCTCACTCATTTACACGAATGACTGTTCACGTACACAGTAACGGCTGCAATAAGACATTTAGCTCATCAGTTATCATTTTCAATGTATTGTGCAGCCAACAATATCTCATTGGTATAAAATCCTGCTTAACAGCTGCATTATAAAAACATTTAATATGCTTTTATATTAGCTGTGATTATTATCAGTTTGTGCATCATTCACTTTTTATTTGTTTTTTTATTTATCTTTTATTTATTTCTAGTTTTTTATTTATTTTTATTATTTGATTAAATATTCAAAACTGCTTACTTTTGCTTTATGTGCTGTATTATTTTTTTCAGACTCTGGCCACCTATTCAGTGTCTGACGCTGTGGCCACATACTACCTTTACATGAAATATGTTCATCCCTTCATTTTTGCCCTCTGCACTATAATTCCTATGGAACCCGATGAGGTCTGTATTCACTAAATCTTCTATTTTTATTGTTACTACACTGAGATGAATCAAAACTGTAGATGTAATAGTAACATCATGGTGTTTCTTTATTTGTGTGTCAACACACAAATGTTTAAACAGGTTTTGCGGAAAGGCTCCGGTACCCTGTGCGAGGCCTTGCTGATGGTTCAGGCCTTCCATGCCAACATTGTCTTCCCAAACAAGCAGGAGCAGGTCTTTAACAAACTCACAGATGATGGTCATGTACTTGACTCTGAGACTTATGTTGGCGGCCATGTCGAGGCTCTAGAGTCTGGTGTGTTTCGTAGTGATATCCCCTGCCGCTTTAAAATGGTAACTAGGACTTCATCTTTAACCAAAGCACACAGTATTGAGCTGTTTATTTGTGCTGTATCTACATAATTATTTATAATTATTCTTGTTCTGACAGAATCCAGCAGCATTTGACTTCTTGATTCAGAGGGTGGAGCGTACTCTCCGTCATGCAATTGAGGAAGAGGAGAAGATTCCCCTTGAGCAGGTCACCAACTTTAATGAGGTCAGTTGGTGTCATGTGTTTAATGTTCAGTATGACATTTTGTGCCTTTGGACACTCAAGACATGATGCCTATTTTATAAATTATCATTAGCATGCGTATATGTTTCCAAGTTATTCTACAGTTGTCATGTGATTTTTACCTGTTTTAGGTGTGTGATGAAATCAAGAGGAAGCTTATCTCTCTAAAGGAAGTGCCCAATAGAATCGAGTGTCCTCTTATTTACCATCTGGATGTGGGGGCCATGTACCCCAACATCATCCTTACCAACAGACTACAGGTACAGTACAGTTCTCATCTTGGATAGGTTGTAAAGGTGTTGATTTAATTATAATGACATGATTAGACAAATTCTAGTTTGTCTCGTTTAGCTGTTTATGAATCAAATAAGGCAAATTATCTCTTTCTCTCCATCTGTTTTTCTTCTAGCCCTCTGCCATGGTGGATGAGGCGACCTGTGCCGCCTGTGATTTTAATAAACCTGGTGCAAACTGTCAGCGCAGAATGACTTGGCAGTGGAGAGGAGAGATCAGTGAGTGATTTGAACATCTTACATCTTTGAGAAGATGTTACTTTTTAAATAAAAATTTTATTCAGCATGGATGCATTAAATTGATCAAAAGTCACAGTAAAGTCATTTATAACATTACAGCATCTTTTGTAATAAATGTTGTTCAAATAAATGCTGTTCTTTTGAACTTTCTATTCAAAGAATCTAACATTTGTCATGGTTTACACATATTAAGCAGCACAGCTGTTTTCAACTGTGGTAATAATAAAAAATGTTTCATGAGCTGCAAGTCAGCATGTTAGAATGATTGTCATTGACACTGAAAGTAAATGAAAAGTAAAAAGTTGTTTATAAACGTGACTATTATGAAATGTTAATATAGTTTTTCTTTTTCCTCCTAGTGCCTGCGAGTAGAAGTGAGTTTCATCGCATTCAGCAGCAACTGGAGTCCGAGAAGTTTCCCCCTCTCTTTCCGAATGGTCCACCTCGTGCTTTCCATGTGCTCAACAGAGAAGAACAAGCTCGGCATGAGAAGAAGCGGTTGGGAGGTTAGTATACACCTGCAGGGAACTAGGTTTTTTTTTTGTGTGTGTGTGTGTGACTGTTGTCATAGACCAAGATGAACTTAAATTATGCACTTACAAACTCGCATGTATAGATGAATATTGATTAGGGTTGGGTATCGTTTGAATTTTATCGATCCCGATTCTTATCGATTCCTAGTTTCGATTCCAATAAGATAAAAAGTCCAATATAAAAAAATGATGTCAAACATTTAGATGTCAAACATTTATTCTGTCTTTTTGCAAGCATTCTGTTGCAGCTGAATAATATGAGCAAAAACCAGCAGCCTACAGATCACTTACAAGAGGAACTTTTGCCTATGCTTTTAAAACAAATACCACAGCAAAAACAACTAGAAATAAATTTCAAATATTAAAGTGTTAAAGACAAGTAAACAGTCAGTAATAAAACAGGAAAAAAACACATCAATTAGCAATAGCATAAATAAATAAAACAACCTAATTTCAGGAACAGAAACTGTAATTTAAAAGTTTAAAAACACTGCATAGTTTTCTTTTCATAAATATAATATAGATTAATTCATTTATATTTAATTAAAATTATTAAAGATATTCAGTCAAGATCAGTGAATGATTTTCTTTTGTTACTTGATTAGCATTAATGACAGGCAGCGCGTTTATTAGGCTGCTGTCTCTTTAACACCGAACTCACGCAGATCTAAATATACCGTACATGTGCGTTTTCTTTCTCATCTGTTTACGTTCACTTAAGACAAAAATGGCTGTTTATTAGGGCTGGGTAAAAAATATCGATATCTCGATATTAATCGATTCTCATTTTTACGGAACAATATCGATTCTTAAATCCCAAGAATCGATTAGTCTAGCCTGTTTTCAGTTAATGGGCGGAACATTGAAGGGCACTTCCCATCCAATATATCGCAATAAGCATTGTGTGTTGGTACTTTTAATATCAACCCTCTACATTGCGAGTGTGTGTGTGTAAAATAGTATATCAGTCTGGCGACAAAAAAATTTACTAGCCAATGGCGATTATATTGCCAAGGTGTGCGTAGAGGGTTGAATATGAAATAAAGTCTCAGATTTCAAATTCTGTCTGTATTGCAGAATTCAAACAATAAACGCAGTTTTGGCGCGGTTTAATGTGAAGTGACAGATCGCTGTAGCGCCTCAGTTCAACAGATGCGGCAGCGTGAGGCGCACGTGAACTGATCATCTCCTCCACATTAATACCAGTTTCAGCACAAAATCATCATGACTAAACATTCGAAGACAAATTAAAAGAAAGGTTACAACTTTACAATCTGTATCCTGTCTCATGTAATCGCTCAATCAGTGTTTCAGCCGCGCAAAGACGTCAATATAACGGCTTGTAAACAGTGTCACGTAACGTCAAATTTACCTCAGAAAAAACATATTCGGTGACCATAAACTCGTTAGTGAGATAGAAAAATAAACTGTAGAGAGGGGCATTTTGCTAAATATATGCACCATATAACCATATACATTTTACTGTTCTTCAATGTGTTTATATTAAAAGAAAAAACTAATTGAAGTAGAAATATTATTTTGTAATTTTTATTATTTTAAAAACTTCATTAAGTGTGATTTTAACAAATCAGTCCATTTTAACCTTCAATATTATAGTAATGTAGTACCAACTGACTCTCATGTATATTTTACAGCATTAGTTGAGAGATTTTTTGTCCTTGAAAATTTGGCATGTACTGTATCCGATATAAAGTATATCCAAAATAATCGATATTGAATCAAATCTAATCGAATTGGTAATCGAATCAAATCGCAAGCTTGTGAATGAAAATAAAATCGAATTGTGAAATTTGTGTCAAAACCCAGCCCTAGTGTTTATGATGATATACTGACGTAGTTTTCTGCGTACTGGTCGATAAACATGAAAGAAGTCAGTTCCGGCTCTGAACAACCTTTTCTGCAGTGGAAATGCACGGAATGGTTCAAGAACGGACACAGATTGGGACCGCTGTTCTCTGTTCTCTCTGCTCGCGCTTCAGACGTGTGCTCTGCGCACAAGCAGGGCGCAAGTTCTTTCCGTTCCTGCACGTAAATCGTTTTAAATCACAAAATACGAACGCAGGAATTGTTAAGCAGAATCGAAATGCACTCGTCTTATCAAATACCTGGTTCTTGGAAATTTGGAACTGGTTCTAAAATGGAAGCGGTTTTCGATACCCAACCCTAATATTGATACACATTATTTAAAAAAAATTTTCTTCTTAGATTACTGTCGAAAAGCCTATAAGAAGGTTCACCTGACCAGACTGGAGGAGAGAGTCACTACCATTTGCCAGAGAGAGAACTCTTTTTATGTTGACACAGTTCGAGCCTTCAGAGACCGTCGATATGAGTTCAAAGGATTCCACAAGGTACTGTATTCAGACCTTAATCATGTTTATTTGTTTATTATTTTATGAGTGTTACAGTCTGTCTACATGGTACATCAAACTCTCCTATTTCAAAAAGATATGTTTTTCTAGGATATATCTTCTTTTAATGTGATAGTTTAGTGTGCTCACCTATGCAAAAAGGAGTCATTTATATATCTCTTTTTAAAAGTTTTGTCTGTTCCTATCATCTGTCCAGGTGTGGAAGAAGAAGCTGTCCACAGCACAGGATAATGGGGACGCAGCGGAGGTGAAGCGCTGCAAGAACATGGAGATTCTCTATGAGTCTCTGCAACTGGCGCACAAGTGTATCCTCAACTCCTTCTACGGATACGTCATGAGAAAAGGGTATTGAACCATCACTTTTTAAGGCTCTTTGCACCATATAACCATATACATTTTACTGTTCTTCAATGTGTTTATATTAAAAGAAAAAACTAATTGAAGTAGAAATATTATTTTGTAATTTTTATTATTTTAAAAACTTCATTAAGTGTGATTTTAACAAATCAGTCCATTTTAACCTTCAATATTATAGTAATGTAGTACCAACTGACTCTCATGTATATTTTACAGCATTAGTTGAGAGATTTTTTGTCCTTGAAAATTTGGCATGTACTGTATCCGATATAAAGTATATCCAAAATAATCGATATTGAATCAAATCTAATCGAATTGGTAATCGAATCAAATCGCAAGCTTGTGAATGAAAATAAAATCGAATTGTGAAATTTGTGTCAAAACCCAGCCCTAGTGTTTATGATGATATACTGACGTAGTTTTCTGCGTACTGGTCGATAAACATGAAAGAAGTCAGTTCCGGCTCTGAACAACCTTTTCTGCAGTGGAAATGCACGGAATGGTTCAAGAACGGACACAGATTGGGACCGCTGTTCTCTGTTCTCTCTGCTCGCGCTTCAGACGTGTGCTCTGCGCACAAGCAGGGCGCAAGTTCTTTCCGTTCCTGCACGTAAATCGTTTTAAATCACAAAATACGAACGCAGGAATTGTTAAGCAGAATCGAAATGCACTCGTCTTATCAAATACCTGGTTCTTGGAAATTTGGAACTGGTTCTAAAATGGAAGCGGTTTTCGATACCCAACCCTAATATTGATACACATTATTAAAAAAAAAATTTCTTCTTAAGATTACTGTCGAAAAGCCTATAAGAAGGTTCACCTGACCAGACTGGAGGAGAGAGTCACTACCATTTGCCAGAGAGAGAACTCTTTTTATGTTGACACAGTTCGAGCCTTCAGAGACCGTCGATATGAGTTCAAAGGATTCCACAAGGTACTGTATTCAGACCTTAATCATGTTTATTTGTTTATTATTTTATGAGTGTTACAGTCTGTCTACATGGTACATCAAACTCTCCTATTTCAAAAATATATGTTTTTCTAGGATATATCTTCTTTTAATGTGATAGTTTAGTGTGCTCACCTATGCAAAAAGGAGTCATTTATATATCTCCTTTTAAAAGTTTTGTCTGTTCCTATCATCTGTCCAGGTGTGGAAGAAGAAGCTGTCCACAGCACAGGATAATGGGGACGCAGCGGAGGTGAAGCGCTGCAAGAACATGGAGATTCTCTATGAGTCTCTGCAACTGGCGCACAAGTGTATCCTCAACTCCTTCTACGGATACGTCATGAGAAAAGGGTATTGAACCATCACTTTTTAAGGCTCTTCTATTGCCCAGTCCTAGAGCAGATTAGTGCTGGGCGGTATACCGGTTCATACCGAATACCCGTGTTTATTTTTGTTATGATATGAATTTTTAAAATACCGCAATACCGGTGTATGTCGCTTAAACAACGTTCGGAACGCGACACTGTTTGAAAGGGGTCCCTTTTCACTATTGCACTGTGGTGAGGAAACAGCTGTAGGTGTTACTAAGCGTGAAAGTTCCAAAACTGAAGCTGTAGAACTAATAGAACGTGATGACAGAAGAACTCATCCACAATATCCACACTGACCACTGATGGTATCTGGTGTGTTCTTCCCAACACCTTTCCTGAGAACTTTGTCATAAAATCCACCAATGAGAAGAAGGCAAAGGTGACCATCAGTTATCCAGGAGCCATGCTGAACATCATGGTCAAGGTAATTTATCTTTCTCTTCTTTTGACCAGTAAACCACATTATCGGCAGGTTAATTATATAGTAAAAAGGAAGAGATCTTCAAAAAAAATGGTTGAAAGGGAACAACTAATGATAATCGGGAAAGATCCCATTTTTTATCATTTGTGTCACTTGTATGTGTAGGAGGGCTTCACGAATCATCAGTATCAAGAGCTGGTGGACCCAGCATCTTTAACATATGAGACCAGAGCTGAGAACAGTATCTTCTTTGAAGTTGATGGGCCGTACTTGGCTATGATCCTGCCTGCCTCTAAAGAAGAAGGAAAAAAGCTAAAGAAAAGGTGAGAGAACCACATCAAATCACTTTGTGTGTGGACATTGTCCAGTAATTGTTGTCACTAGGAGATCTAAACTACTGTTGCTTTAGATAAAAGCCTCAATTTTATCAAGGAAAAAAACTATTTTATTCAGGGTTTTTGGTTGTTACCTATAGAGCTCGGTTCATATATTCTCCATCCTCAGGTATGCCGTGTTTAACGAGGACGGGTCACTGGCTGAGCTGAAGGGCTTTGAGGTGAAGAGAAGAGGAGAACTTCAACTCATTAAGATCTTCCAGTCATCTGTGTTTGAGGCCTTCCTGAAAGGCACAACTCTAGAAGAGGTTTATGCCTCTGTGGCTAAAGTGGCTGACTACTGGCTTGATGTGCTCTACAGCAAGGTATTAACAAATGTTACAAAATCATGTATGGGTTTAAGTGACAATTGGAATAATCGCTCACATTGTATTTTATTATAATAATTATGGGAGGGATACTCAATGAGAGTGTTGTTCTTGTCTTCTGTTTTCAAGGCTGCTAACATGCCAGATGCAGAGTTGTTTGAGCTGATTTCAGAAAACCGCTCCATGTCCCGTAAGCTGGAAGATTATGGCGAACAGAAGTCCACCTCCATCAGTACAGCCAAGCGTCTTGCCGAGTTCCTTGGCGATCAGATGGTGAAGGACGCTGGCCTCAGCTGTCGCTATGTCATCTCCCGCAAACCGGAGGGCTCACCTGTCACTGAAAGGTGAGAACATCTTTCAGTTGTTTTAAATTATAACAATATTTCACAAAATGACTGTATTTTTATTGTGTGTATAGACGGTTTCAACGGCAACAACATAAACAAACGTTACTGTGCATGTGCGCTTTTGTGGCCCTAACTTAACTTCCGGTAGACTTTCAAATAGAATCAATAACAACAGCTAAGTAGTCCCTCTTGAGTAGATTAATTTTCATAACAAGCAAAATATGTTTGCTGCATAATCAGACGGACTTACTGAAAATGCAAATTCATTCTCTGCCAGCAGGAGGTGCTTTAAAGCGGGAGAAACAGCAGTTTCCCCAGTAACGGCTGTACACAAAGCAGTGCTGAGCTCACAAACGCTGCTTTATCAGACATATAACATGCGAGATTAAATGAAAATGACATCGAAAATTTTCTAAAGATAGTCTTCCTTCAGAAATACAGCGATATAAAAACACCCGTGCCTCGTTTTGATTTTTAAACG